GTTTTACTCACGTAAGTGTTTCCATGTGTTAAAGTGGGATTGTTCATGTACATGAATACATCTTTGAAGGACTCACTCTTTAGCAACGTCATCTTGTTCACTTTAGAAGATTTAATGTGACTGTTGTACTTTCTTGAAAAAACAGATATTTTACTGTAGTATTCTTTTATTCTACATCTTTTTAGTTGTTTTACATAAACTGCTTTACATATGTGATTTTTTTGAGACCTTTTATGCTTCTCTTACTGTATGATCGTCAGTTTCTATAATGACTTTTTAAATTGTAATACATTCTATTGTTTATATTGCAATGAGTCACAAATATGTCTCATGCTCAGTTTCCTCTCATTCCCTTTGATCACTCTGTATGACTGTTTTCTCAATACTGGTGTGCTGTCTTCCATGTTTTCTGTCTTTTCCTTTTGCAGAAATTGCTGACCTTCACACAATCACCATTCATCCATACCCTGTTCTCATCAAAGTTAGTATAACCACAAGCTTTAGGCTTCTTTTTAGCTTTACTCTTTCTCATTTATCATAGGTGAGCTGCATTTAAGCTACAGCCATCAGTACCTCCTTGCAGGTCCACGCACTGGAGATAATGGAGGTCCTTGCTGTGAAGAAAGGGAAATAGAGATGCAAGGGAATGATGGAGCTGAAAAGAAGTACAATAAGAGAGTTTGGCAAACTTTTTTCACAGGACAATGATTGATCAGTTTGCTCTCTTCTATTTATGAATCATCTGGAAGTGGGCTTTGTCACAGTGTATGCTTGATCTGTGAGTTGCTTTTGAGTTAATTACTATGACTGTCAGCCTTTCTATTAATTTGTAATGTGTAATAATCCAAATCACCTGTGTGATGTCTTTTCCTTGGTTCAAAGATTCATTAATCCCACAAATGGCTTTCACTATACATGTGAGTACGTTGATATAACTTTCTGTTCACAGATCTATGTTCAGAGAATAGAAGTAGTCCTATCTTAATTTTTTTTCCGCTTACAAACTGCCATAGAGTGTGCTTTCAAATTTACATGAAAAGAACATGAACAATGTGTTGAAGGAGAATTTACAGACATACAGATATCATTATGCAATATTTGCCCACGTTTAAAGTGTTTGTATAAG